ATTAGGGCAGAGAACCGGTTGTTAAGTTATTTGAATCCCAACACTGATTTGTAGTATATATTTTATCAGTCGAACATTTTTAAAATGCTTTCACCTATTAATGTTTGAATTTCAATACAAGTAAAAATATATTAGAAAGATTTTTTTCCCCTTTTTGTCTGCTTGATTCCAAAACAGAAATCGCGTCTGGCTTAGGAAAAGACCTGTTGATGCTCTACCAGAATTCTTGGTTTTCAGATATTAATATTTGGATTGATGGAAAACCCTTTGAAGTGCACAGGTACTGTCGTTAAAGACTTTGTGGTGGCTTTTATGGGTACAGGAGGGAGAAGGAAGGATTAGACACAGAGACATTTTATACGACTGTGTACTAAAAAGTTACTGCATCTGTGTAAAGATGAAAAACATTGTGATTTCTTCTAGTTCTGATATGGGTAGAATTACAGGTAGTGTTATGCTTTCTGCATCTATCCAGTATTGTTTGGTAATGTATATTTGTACTGCCTTAAGAGTAATGTATATTTGTACGGCCTTTAAGAGTAATGTATATTTGTACGGCCTTTAAGAGTGGTGCAATGGCATTTACAATATTTGTAAAAGCCTTTTTTTCCCCAAAAATTTTTAAAAAAAGAGTGATGCAATGGCCTAGAGGTGCAGAATCAGGAGGCTGTGAGTTCGATCCTAGGTAGAGGCAGATATTTCTCTCTCTGGGCAAACTGAGAATATATTTGCTGAAAAAAACTCTGCATTGGCGACAGGAAGGGCATCCAGCCATTAAAACATTCTGCTAGCTTCATTCAGTTGCCCAGACTACACCCTGCAAGGGATTATGGGATCGTTAAAAGAGGATGATGCATATAACCCTTTATAAAGATTGAAAAAAGTAAAATCAGTTATTAATCCATCAACAATTTAAAATGTCTTGCTTAAAGAGGAAGACAGCTTTGAAGTATAGTAGCTTGAGCCAGGAACTCTTCAGAGTTTTCAAGACACAAAATGTAGAACGTATCATCAGTAATGCAAAAGAAAAAATAAGAAACTACACAGATACCTCTGACACCTATTTCTGGATTTTTTTTGTTGATATATCAAGGAACTATTGCAGCCCATGGCATAAATAAGAGACGGGAAAGACAGCCAAAGTTATTTAAAAGCAAATATATGTTGGGTTCTAGATGTTGCTTGTTTACAACTACAGAGAAATATTCATATTTTTTGCCCACTCCAATAACCTAGAATTTTTTTGAGAACTTTGGCCTACTGTTAATAAGCTAGCCTGTTGTTCACTCAGTAGCATCCTATTGCCAAGCTAAAATTCAATACCACCATTTTTTTTCTTGCTAAGAATAAAGCCAGGAAACTATTTATTGAGTCATAATGACAGGAAGAAAGGGAGGAGGGATATACCTAATACAAACCTGCTATTCTATTGCAAGAATAGAATAGAACAGAATAGAATAGAGAAGAAAAGAGAAGAAAAGAAAAGAAAAATTCTTTATTCACCAAATGTCACTAGACACACCAGGAATTTGTCTCCAGTGCATAAGCTCTCAATGTACACAACAATGAAGTGATAGGCCATAGATCATAAAGCATGTATACAATAATTAATCATAAGATACAAACAACATTAAGCTAGAGTTTGTGAAAATTTTGATTTATCATAATGTGTGAACCCTTCCAATCATAATTGGTGGATACTGCTTATGAAAGCACAGTTGTTGTTTTTCTGAGCTGAAATTGAAAACATCTAAGTCTTTAGAAACCAGATAGATACCGTATTTTTTGGAGTATAAAACGCACCAAGATTTTGAAGAGGCAAATTTTAAAAAAAGGTGGGTAGATAGAGGGATAGACAGGGAGAGAAAGAGAGAGAAATACAGTAGGTAGGTAGGGAGAGAGAGTGAGTAGGTAGTTGGTAGGTAGATAAAGGGAGAGAGAGAGAGAGAGAGAGAGAGAGAGAAGACAGATAGAGGGAGAAATAGAAAGAGAAATATAGTAGACAGGTAGGGAGAGAGAATAGGTAGGTTGGTAGGTAGAGGGGTAGAGAGAGAGAAATACAGTAGATAGGGAGGGAGAGAGTAGTTAGGTAGGTAGATAAAGGGATATATATATATATACATACACACACACACACACACACACACACATATACATACTCACATACAGAGAGAGAGGGAGAGAGAGAGAGAGAGAAATACAGTAGATAGGTAGGTGTCTGGCACAGCACTTGATCAATGTACTTCTCCACAATTAGTTAAAGAGCTTTCCAAAAGGAAAAAAAGTTTTTGCACTCTGCAAACCTCCCAAAAACGGCCCGTTTTTCATGAAAACGGGCCTGTTTTTTTTCTCAAAAAAGGCATGAATAGCCTTGGGGGAGGGCTTGCAGAGTGCTCCTGGGGAGTGGGGGGCCAAAAATGAGCAAAAAACGGCCCGTTTTTTGTCCAAAAAATTGCATGCATAGCCTTATGGAGGCTTATAGAGTGCTGCTGGGGGCTGGGGGTGGGGGACAAAAAACAGCCTGTTTTTTGCTCATTTCTGCCCTCCCCAGCTCCCAGGAGCTCTCTGAAAGTCTCCATAAGGGTATGCACAGCCATTTTGGTGAAGGGGGCGGGGCTTCGGGAGGCAAAAAAATGCTGTATTCAGTGTATAAGACGCACCCAGATTTTCAGCCTCTTTTTTGAGGAAAAAAGTGCGTCATACTCCAAAAATACGGTATAGTATTATTTTACTGTTGAACCGCTGATTCAAAATATTTAAGAACTTGGGGTGCTGCTCAGAATGAAAAAACTAACAATTAAAAATTCATTATATGATTCTGTGCAACAGGGTAATATGGTAGAATAGTTGAGGTTCTTACTTTCTTGAGTGAAAGAGCAAATTAAGTACTAAATTAAGAGCTGGCATCCAATCCATTTGGATTTTTAAAAATTCCTCAAATGAAACTTTGCAGCCAATGAAAACAGAGCTGTATATCTTTTTCAAGAAATCCTTCCATCACCAACACCCCTTCCCAAAATCTGTTTTAGTAATATGAACATATAGGGAAATCTCTATTAAGGGTACAGTATATTCATATTTGAAATAGT